GATCGTGATTGGTCATTAGTCGATAGCCCGGAGGAAGAGTCGTGTATGCTTTTCTATTCAAATCGTGTTTTGAATGCTCTTTATTGCTTTTATTGTAGGTGTTAGAGGTGTTCGTGCTGTATTAGTTGGGGCAGTCGGGGAGCATAGCGGTGAGTTGGGTTGAATAGTTGGTTGTGGTTTATGTTTTTGGCGTTTAGATTCGTGTTCTGGTTGTGGTGAAGTTTTAAGTCACGCTTCTGCTGAGAATTTTAAAGCGTCGTTGGAAGCAAATCATCGTGCAAGTGATAAAGGTTAGTAAGGTATAAAACTATTGGCTGAAATTTCATTTATTCTTTTGTCTCTGTTTTAGCGGCTCCACTTCCTGTGGTCCAAATTGTTGTTTTCAGGTGCCAGTACGTGTGACCGATGGTCAATTGTTGGAATATTTTAGTAGCTTTGGTCCAATTTTGATAAGTCCGGCTTTTGTAGTATATATAACTAGTCTTTAGCATTTGTCTGAGATACCAAAGCGGTTATTTATTAAACTGAAAATATTGCGGGCGCTGTGGTGATCGCGTTTCTATGTTATGAATTTTGTTCGTTCTGATAGAACGATTGTTCAAAGACAGGTACTTTTTTGCTATCACTATTAATTTGATTCAGAATTCATCGGTATAAGCCCCAAATCAACGTAATGCTTAAAATGTTAAAAACTTCACGACTAACATATGAATAAATCGATGATTCATTTTAAATTTCGATCGTGAATCATTCCATTGGCTACTGTGCTGTCGTTCTTAACCGTCAGAAAACTCTAGTTGTTTCCCTTTTTATCTAACTTGCTCGAAACGTATGAAGTGATTGCACAATGCCTGGCTGACACCTTAGCTTAGATCTTAATCCTGTCTGGTAACATAAGCATATAGAGTTTTAGAAAGTGAATTTTTTTTTATTGCAGTCATATGCCAGCGAACGGTACAACAACAAAAATGAACGGGAGAGATTATGGAAAATATGGCGTCACAAGCCACAAATGGATGACACGCAGGCGGTGTCGGTTACATTCACCCATCTTGAAGATGCGGTGAGTGCAGTTGAAAAAATAAATGGTAAGTATTTTCACTTATTTCAAGTAACATAGTATCTGGTGCCTCTTACTTTAGGGCAAATTGCGCCGGAATTGGGTGGGGGCATATTGGTGGCCGAATACCGCGGCAATTATTTTCGACGGTACATTGTTCCATTCGGCACACAAAACTATGCCAAGTCAATTCAAGAGATAATTAAGAAAAAATTATTTTTTTTAATTTAATAAAAGATCAGATTTGGTATCTTTTTAGTTCTATTCGTTCGCAGATACGGTAACTCGAATCACAGTGGAAAATTAGCCAAATCTTAATGTTCTAGAGGAACATGTCAAAATAAAACTACTCGGTATATCTATTTTGACTTCAAGCTATAACTCAGCCTGAAGTAAACGATGTTAATTGCATCATGTTCCTGAAGAGAAAACCGAATAAAACATGGTGAAATTAGCGTCAGTTTTGTCAAAAGAAATTTCTTAGAACCATGCGCTCTTGATCCCGAAATCAGCACGTTTCGGTGCGAGTGATCTCGTGAAGCAAACATATTTTGAGAAGAAAGAAGACTTATTCAATATACAATAAATTATTTTTACAAAGATATTTTTTATTGGCATACAACTGATGTAATGAGGCATAATAAGATCTTCCGCCGAAACATTTCTGCTAACTTAAGTAATTCCTCATAACAGAAGTGGATTACAAATGATTTTTCTCGGGTTTCATTGAAAAAATCAGCATTTCAATGGGAAAATTCGGCATGTCA